TACAAGGTAACTGCTCTAATTCCACTTGTTGGTCCTGGTAGGGTCAGAGAGAGTCTAGAGGGGGGTGAATAGACTCTAATCGATTCTTTTTTTATTATTCTCCATTCGGAGATATGTGGAGCAGAAATATTGTTTTAAGTTAGATTTTCTTTGCACTCTGTCGTGTTGATAAAGATAATGCGTTTGGTCGATATGATATGATATGCGAAGCACGAAAGTAAACGCAATAAGTAAAGAGACAGAGAGAGATATTTTTATATTGGTTCGGCCAACTGTGCCTACTCCACTCTTCTTTCACAAATCGTGAAAGGGTTTGCACTATCACTCCTAGTACAAACTACTTCAAGTTGGCTTCCTTGATCACTAAGCTGGACAGTCACTTGAAAAGTTTTTCAACTCCTAGAGTTTGCTCCGCCTCTATCAACTACTTCCTGAGCTGAGATGTTGGAAAAGAGATTTGATATTTCTCTAACGGATTGAAGCTTGTCTTGATGTCTTGGTAGATCTTCACTTGAGAAAAGAACAAGACAGCTTCAGGTTGTGAAGTATGAGGATAGATGTGCCTTTGAAAAACTTCACAACAAACACTGGTTATGAAAAGCTAAGAAGATGAAACTGCTTTGAAATGCTTTTCTTAGACTGAGAGAGTGAGTTAACCAGCACCTTCTTCAATGGTGAAGAGAGGTATTTATAGGTGGAAAAATCCATCCGTTGGAGGGAGATGAAAATTTCAAACCTAATAACTAGTGTGTATTACTCAGTGGGCATTGAGCATTGAATTCACTTGTACTGTATAGCCGTTGGAGCAAAAAACATTATGTATTTTGTCCTTGATCTCTAACAAGAAGATACAAGTCTTTTAATGCTTCTTGTCTTTAGTGAAAATCATTCCTAGGACACTTTTTTTCCGAATGATTTGCCCATCAGAGTGATAGACAACATTCTCATTGTTTCCTTTAATGAGGGCTGCCTTTTTAACAAGTCTGTCCTCGACTTGTTTGTTTAGGAATGAAGGATTGTCCTCATCTTTCGTCATTTCTTCTTAAACGAAAGTTCTTTTTGTCGAAGCAGTCCATCCGAGACTTGCTTTAATCCTTCTTTCGTTTTGCAAACATTTTCGATCATCTTCGAATCTTCATGTAGACATGTTCTACTAATCTCGTGCATGGTTTAACATTTCATGCATATGTCATACAAGACTTTCTATCAAACGAAAAACAGGGGTCGACATCCTAAGACAGTTTGGTATCATCAAAACCTAAATACATTTGTTCCTAACAAAGGGTTTAAGAGATATTACATAAAGATGTGACTAGAGTTTTCATACCTAAGAGAGTGCAGGACATTGGAACCAACTTGTGTAATTAGAGAACCCTTCCCTCTTTTGCAAAAAAAAAAAAAAAAAAAAAAAAAAGAAAAAAATGGGGGTACACTTCCCTCTTTGTCCAAATACATATATAAATAAATCATTCATTTTTATCAAATTTTGCAAATATATATATATATATATATATATATATATATATATATATATATATATATATATATATATATATATATATATATATATATATATATATATATATATATATAATATTCATTTTTATCTAATTTTTTGATGTGGGATTTTTTCAGACGTATATATTTCGAGATGCTATTAGATCCACAAAATGCCTTTCTTAGAACCACTGCAAAAGGTAAATCAGAGCTGCACAATCAAACCACCAATCAGACCCTAATTTTAATGCACACATAAAATATCCAATCCATACCATTCTTTTAGGAATGATTCTTCTTTTCATCACTTTGAGTATAGTGAATGGAGAGAAAATACTATATATAAGAGCAAATTCACTGTTTTGATTTTTTTTTTTTTGTTAGAAAAGTTGGAGTCAAAATAGAGAGAAAAATGAAAATTTAGGGTGGTCGCACTTATTGGATGACCACCCAAATCACTCCCACATGTAACTCAATTACTTTTTCAGTTCTTACAAAAACACAAATTAGTATACAATTTCAACCTTTTTTACTCTTATCTCATTTTACATCCACCTAAGTCAAAACTTGACAAAAACACTTAAAAACCCTACAAATGGAAGTCGTTTAAGAGGAGCCTGGCCGGCTTAAAAAATTTGGGTTTGAATTCCAAACAAATATAATTAAATTAATTCTCATACATATATTCCCCCTCCCAAAAGGGTGGGAAAGAGAAGCAGTGATAGTGACTGGATGAGGGCAGCATTAGCCCATTTCTGATTTCTACTTCCTTTTCTCTCTGACACTTCATAGTTGGCACCATATATCACATCACACCAAATATACAACCCTAAGCTTATTACAAGGCGTTTAGTTGGAAGGAGGGAATAAAGGCGAAAACGAATTGTAATTCCGTGGGAAAAGAATAAATTAAAGTGGAATTTAAATTACATTCTTTAGTAGGAAGGAATAAAATAATTGTGAATTGAAAGGAAAGAAGTGAATGAAGATTAAAATGTTCTTGTATAATAATAAAAATATAATAATCATAAGAAGCATAAAATTGTAATTTATCATGGAATTACAATTCCACAAAGTATATATGAAATTGCAATTCCTAAGTTTGAAAGGATTGTAATTCTGTGGAATTGCAATTCTCTCCAATCAAACTATGGAATTGCAATTTCATAGAGTTTAGTTGGAATGGAATTACAATTTCATCCTACCAAACACCTCATTAGGCCTTCTCCAAAGAAAGTACCAAACGCCATTTTGGTGAGAATTTTGTTCCAAACTTTAATGCCCACACACCCAATTTCCCAACATATATGTCTGTTCTCAGGATCTGTAGGTCCTTCCAATGCACAATTTTTTTTTTAAATGTCTATGTCAATTTAGTATTCATTTATATTGGACATCGCCCAACAACATTTCCCAGGTCCCTCCAACACACAAAAAAAATGTCTACATCAATTTACTATTTATTTATATCGTACAACGTCCAACAACTTTTCCAAATGGAAAATATTATGTGTACTCCCATTTTTTCTCACATACAAAATTTTGTTGTAGACACTTGTATTGAGACTTACATAAAAAAAAAAAAAAAAAAAAAAAAAAAAAAAAAAAAAAAAAAAACTTATCATAGGCCGCCACATCAGATAGTAAAATTAAGAGAATAAGATTTAGAAGTATGCAGAGTAGAACTCTTTCAAAAAATAACAACACTCAATATGTGATATACTTTTTGCCAACAATTTAAATTAATATATAGGCTACTTTTGACACCAAATAACCTACAAATAGTAGAATTTAGGATTCTTGTGGAGAATTCACATCAATAATGTCGAATCCCAGCCTAGGGACTAATGACCAAAAGTGAATTTTATTATTATTATTTTATTAACTCGTCACGAGTCATGTTTCTATTTTGTCTCTAACATTGAGACTAAGGTACAATAAAGTGGAGGAAGAAGATTTATGGAGTGCATGGAATACATCATACATGCTGGGTGTTATATATAATAAATAATAAATTTAAAAATGCAGTAATGAATAATTAATTGAAATGGACCTGCATAATACCTGGCATCAGACCTACAATGCACAAGCTTTTGTTAAATGTCATTTTCAATTCATTATAATTAACTCACGACTGAGTAAATCACGTTCTCTATATAAATACCAAAAAACAAAAAAACAAAAAAAAAAACAAAAAAAAAAAAAACAAAACAAAACAAAAACAAAATGACAATGTTTTGCAGACCGACATAAACATTGAATTCCATGGGTAAAAGATGGCAACGGTTCATTTGCCAAAAAAATATTTATGAAATTTTTCTTAAATATGTAAATAACTAAGTAAATAATTCCTCTCAAAAAAAAAAATAAATTATTTTAGTCGCTTTTTATTTCCAGTGTAATTAATGACATCCATTCGATTCGTACCCCTACGTTTGATCAACGATTGATTTCAAATCGCAACAAATCAATTATAAATACATCAGTTTGTCTTCAATACAAACACTACGAATATAATAACACACTAGAAACCTCTCTTGTTCATATACATACTCATAGAATGTATCCATTGTACATTGTTGCACGTGAAATTTCATCGATGAACACATTTTTGAAAATATTATTTGATAAAATATTATCATGTTTGTATAAGTTGATTAATTTGTTTGCATGAACAATGTGCTCTAAAAATGTAATTTAATGTGTTTATTGCAATATATATGTGTTTCGTGTATATGTGATTTATGTGATATAATTTGCTATAAATATTTTAGAAATTTGAGCTAAAAGTTAAATTTGATTAGTTTCTAAAATGTTTAGAATCTAATTTGTGTGCAAATTATGTGAAGATATTTCTAAATATTTATTTGGAAAATGTGTGATAATTTTGTTAATTTCCAAAATGTGTTTATTTTGATTGGAATTTGCAGTGTATATGATTAATATATATTGTTATGTGTGATTGATTATTTATGGTTGATTTATGCTACTAACGAGATGTTTGAGTGTGATTATATATTTGTGGTACACGTTTTTGAGAAGGAGATCAGGAGGTAAGGAGGAAAATCAGAGTTTAATAGGGAATCAAACCTCCACCCATAAACTCCTACCCATATTAAACCTCCACCCAACCTAAAACCTCCCTCCATAATCCTCTACTAGATCAAAATCCTTCCCTAACAGATTCACTCTCTCTCTCTCGAATCGGCACCCCCATACCTCCTCATAGCTAAATAATCTCAATCGTCTCCCACATAGCAATTAAAACCTAACCCCTCTAAACGGTTGCCCATCAAATCCCTTCCCATCCACCGCCATCTCAACCAATGAGAAGCCTTGCCGCTATCCATCACATCCCGTAAATTCTAAACGAAGGCCAGAAAATTAACTCACCATCGGCAAGCGAACCGATAGACTTCTCTGACCGCCATATATAATGGGAGATAGCCGGACAATCTACCGTGTGGAAGCTTTGTGTATCTAAATCATTTTGCAGGTGTAAGATGGTGACTAACGAATCACAGGAGAACGAGATGAGGAAGCCGACTCAGAGAACTTGGGAGAAAGTTCTCAAACAACCTCTAAGGGCGCAACGAACGAACGCACGAAGAAGAGAAAGAGAAACTCTGAGCAACCCACTGGTCTTGATATCGAAAGAAAAAGGGCATGAACCGGAGATGCCACAAGTCCAACCTGTATCGGAGTCACCACCGCGTGAACCTGGTTTCATTTATGAGGAAACTGATGACAAGAGGAGACTGCCAATCAAACTAGACAAGGGGGAAAGGTCTAAACCTCCATTTATGAAGTTCTCACCGGTTGTCCAACCTGACCTTTATGATGAAATTCTGAATATGGGAAATTCATAATATCTTCAGTATTTGAAGCAACTGACATTCGGACCGGTTCTACCCCCTCCTGGTTTCGAAGGGCTCTACCAACCTCCACCTCCACCAGAGCCTCTTCCGAAGTTTCCACCAAGTCTACCGACTCTTGCACCACTGTCGCAAGAAGTTCCTGCTCCTCCACCGCCTCCTCAGCAGATGCCGGTTAACCCGTTCATCAGTCCTCCCGTGGACTTTACTAGGTTTTTTAATGAAACCAACTCATCATCCAGCTCAAACGGGTCAATGTTCTAGGAAAGCGAGTTCAGTGGTAACTCTGGACCAGGATTGTGACACCCCAAAATCCAAATTCAATTAAGGGATTAATTAAGTAATTAATCCTATTTCAATTTGTAATTTAATTCCTTTAATTCCTGAAATTTATTAGTTGGGGACTAGTAATTGACTAGTGAACCCCAAAGTCAAAGTTGTACCTTGAGCTTTGTAAGGAGTTCCCTTGTTCCTTACACTTCCTTATGTTAGTAAGGGTATTCTTGACCTTTCACTTGGTGTTAGTATTGTAACCTAACCTAGTAGACCACCTTCATTCTTTCCTTACACTTTCTAAAAATCTAGCTCCACCTTCTCTCTAAAAATATGGGTAGTTTTTCATCCAAGCTAAGCTGGCGCCTTGCCAAAACTTCAAGAGTTGCTTCCAAGATTCAACCTTTCATATATTTGGGCATCTAGGAGGGTAAGATCTAAGTTCATCTTGTGTTTTTGGTTTTATCTAAGGTGTCTTTTCTTAAAGATAGGATCTTTATGATCTTATGGTATGTTCTTGAAGTGGGTTTGGAAGGTGAGCCTTGTGAGGAGCTTGTTGAGGTGTAAAGTGAAGTCTTTAGTCTACAAGAGGTAACCCATTCTCTACAAAATCTATTTTACTTACTTATATGAATATTTCTTGGATTCTACATGTGATTTTGCTATGAAATGTGAGTGTTTATGCATTGTATTGTGAAAATGCATATCTAGAGCTTGTGTTTAGGGTTCATTTGTGCCATTGCTTGGCATTTCCTTTGATTCAAGTCATTTTGTTGTATTTGGTGAGATTTGGCATGTTTTGGACTTGAATTTGAGTTTGGAATTGAAAATCCCCGAAGGGATTATTTGTGGTACAGGGGTGTACCCGCGGGAGGAACGGCGGGAAGGGGTCCAACCCGCCGCCCACCCGCGGGGTACACATTTCGGGTGACCTGTACCCGCGGGCGGAACCGCGGGTAGAGGCCTACCCGTGGGCCTACCCGCGGGTACGTGTTGTGATGTTGTTGGGGATTTGTTCCCCATGATTCTTTTGACTCGGTATTTGGTCTTTTGACTTCCCGATGTTCTTTTGTGGAACTATTTGTGCGTCTTCTTGATGTTTCGTATGTCTAGAACTATATGGTAGGATTCCATGTAGGCTTTGGTGTCTTGGATCATGCTAAGTGTTCAACATTGTGTTTCATTGAATCGTGATGAGTTTTGTGTGTTCTTCGGAACTACATTTGGTTTATCCGTTTGATAAGCATGCTAGTTCGGTGTTTAAATGCTAGCGTGTGAGTTGTTTGTACCTTCCTATTGGTTGATGATAACTTGTGTTATTCATCGTTGTTGTTGGGCTGTGACCCATTCCTTGATTGAGTATGGTTTCATATCTTCGTTGTGATCCGTTGATTGATTCCTGTTGAGGTGTGATGTGTGCGTGGCTTTACCTGGATTGCACGATTAGTGGTATGGGACACTAGTCACCAAGGTATTGTAGCGGTCCTCGTGGTGGCCGTGACGTGATTATGGAGTTTGTGACCTAAGTGATGGGTTCACGTATTTCTTGGGTGGCATGTGTTGCCGTGTGTGTGATCGGTACCCTCGTGTACTATGAAATTGGTGGTCTCTTTGGTGGTTTGTTGGTGGGGGACGACGGTCCCAGGAGGGAAAAGGTTGGACTAAGAAGTACAGGGGTCCTGGAGGTAATGGTTGGAAGAAGATACAAGGTTGGGGGTAGCCATAAGGTTGGAACCGGGTATAAGGAAGGCATATCAACTCGTGATGGGTGATGTCACGAAGGCTTGTGTGGCCTTTGTTGTGAATTCTCTTCTTGTGACGTGTGTAGTCACATGGGCAAGTGTTGCCTTGGCATGTGTTTCCGTGGGTGAGTCTTATTCCTTTGAGTTATGCATGTCAGGTGTTGGTCTATTGTGTGATGATAGACCATACCTTGAGACTTCTTGTGAGTCGTTGTTGTTCCTTGTGGTATTGGGATGTGTTCCCATATTCTTGTTGAGAGTGTTGAGTCTTGCGTTGGCTATTACTCTTGGTTTTGTACTTATATATATGTATTCCGTTTCGTAAATGGCTTTACAACTTATATCTTATCTATGTATGATATTTCACATGTATTGGTGGGTTACCAGCATTATTCGCTGATCGGGCGTCGTCCCATGTTTTATTTTGTTCTTTCAGGTGATGTCTACACGAGTGCGCGGTCTAGTGCTTGCTAGTATAGCTTCTCCCCTTCGTTTTGTGGACTGTGTGCCAGCTTAGATATAGAACTTTGAGACAATGGGTTTAGATGTAAACATTGCAGATGTTGCCGGTGCGTTCATCCTTTTGGTGAACGTGGCATAACACCCCGTGTTCCGGATTATGTCTATCTATCTATCTTTCAGTCTTCCGCTATGTTTGTTGTTTAGTTCAGTTATCTGCATGTTTAAGGCTTTGAAATAGCATGTTTTTAAGGGGGTATTACAAGGATAGTCTCCTTCACCACTAGGGGGTTATGATTTTGATGACTGCATTAGTACTGGTTTTTTCTGCTTGCTGAATGTGTTATGTTATCTCTCTCTCTCCCTAAGAAGGAGATAAATAAAAGAAAAATGGTTATTTTTGCTACTGGTTCTCTCTCTCTCTCTCTCTCTCTCTCTCTCTCTCTCTCTCTCTCTCTCTCTCTCTCTCAATCTCTCTTAAAAATGAAAAATCCCTCAGATTTATAAAAAGAACAAATGTTTCGTAGCCAAGAAGATACACACAAAAAAATATAGGAAAAATATATGAATAAAAAAAAGAATAAAAGAAAAATTAAAAAAAAATAATATATATATTGTGGCTACAAGAAAGGATAAAAGAAGAAAAGAATTAAGAGGAGAAGTGTCAGAAGAAGTAAGAAGAGAACTACCAGTTGAATTTGCAGTAGAAGTTGCTACTGAGAGTAGACAACAAATCAGAGAGGATATATCTAGTGTATTTTCAGTACACAATACCGAGTCCACCATGTCTATCATGGACCCTGTTCTAGAAGATGAAATTTTATTTGAAGACACCTATACCAAAATAGAAGTTTTAGAAGAAGAGATTGGTGATCTGAATCAATAAGTCGAATCACCTGAAGAAGAAGAAGGGATGCAACTTGTAGACACACCCGTTCTCACTGATCCAAGAAGGAGTCCATTCGGGTCTCCTCAAAATTTTGTGCAAACAAGTGATTAAGAAGATGGCATTTTTACATCTTTATTTGCCAAAGTTGCCGAATTCAGTGATGTTGTTTGTCAAACTATTGGAGAGAAGTTGGTTGAACAAATTTAGATGATGGAACAACAATACACTGATACCCGAGTCAATCTGAAGGAACTAATGGAGTACCAAAACAGTTCGAAGACTCAGATTGGCAAAGCTGAAAGAATCTTGAAAGGAGAAGTGACAAAAGGATTACTTGAAGTGATCCAACTCATGAAGAAGGAACGTGAAGCAGCTGAAAAGATTCACAACGAACGTCACTTGCGACAAATCAAGGCGATTCAAGATCAAGAAAGCCGAATCAGCAAACTTGAAGTTGAACTCATAGTTGCAACAAATAAGCTGGACAACGTACAAGTTGTTTCCATTGAAACACACAATTGTGTTGAAACTGTGAAAGCAAACCAAGACCGAAATTGTAAGACCCTTGCATTTTTGGTTGATAACGCCAAAAGGGGGGAAGAAATTCTCACTCACTTGGCTTTGCAAAAACAAGAATTTATTCTTGGAAGTCAACAACAGCCAGTAATATCGACCCAAGGTCGAGGCCGAAGTCGCGGACAACCCTCACAAGGACCATCTCAGATTGGTTTTGCTCAGTTCGCGAGTCCTAATCTTAGTACGAGTATATTGAAAGTTGCTGAATCTCGTGGTTGGTTTGAATGCTCAAAAGGTCCCGCCACTCAGACAATAATATGGACTAAGGAAAATCTACCAAGCATGATCAAGAAATGACCTGCAGCCGATCAAGCCTAATGGATCTCGGACAAGAATAAAGAAGAAGGCAAACGGAAAAGAACCGAGATGTGGTATGAACTAAGATATTTCACTGGAAATATGGGCATGAATCTTGGAGAAGAAAGAAGCTTCGAAGAATGTGTTGTATGGTGGGAAGCTGGAGTTCTTCCAGGCAACAATATTAAGGAAGCTTTTGGATATTACATGGTTGGGCAAGTTACAAAGAGATTTCAGAATGCGAAATTCAAAGATGATTTCTTCAAGCTCAGAGAACATGTCAAGGAAATTTTGAAGAAAAACATGGGTGTGAATAAACCGAGAAGGTAATCTGGAAAATCTCTTAAACTGATATTTTCGCTATTTTCGAACCTCTGTTGCGTTTTTCTAAAAAATATTCGAAAAATATCAATAATAATTTCCCATGGTCTATTTTGAGTTTAGTATTTTATTTGTTTTTTGTAATTAGACCTTCGTGAATTAAAAAGACAAGAAATGTCAAAACGCACATCAAAATTAAAAATAATAATAATAAAATAATTCAAGATGCGTTTAGGAGCTTGTCTAAAAATTAATTCACAAGTTGCTTTTGATTGTGTATAGAAAACCGTTTGTTAAACTCATCTTGGCTTTGTCAAATAAAATTGAGCAAAAATGATTATTTTTCAAAGACTTAAAGCCAATGATTGAGTATAGGTTTTGGCATTATCAAAAGGGGAGAAATTGTTAGGAATAAAGTGTAATGGTTTTGATATGCCAAATATGTATTTGTAGAACCCCCAATTTTATTTAGGTCTAGTAGAGTCTTAGACCATGATTGGGAAATTATTTAAATTGCAAAAGAGAAAAACAGAGGAAGATGCATGAAAATAGAAGAAGAAGATATCAAGCCTAAAATCAAGAATTTGTCTAGAGAAAATGACAAATTGAAGAAGAAGATAAATGATATGAGTTTCATGTCGCTACTACTAAAAAGGAATTCCCAGAAGAATTTTCTACGTAGAAAATTAAGATTGGAAGATTGCATG